ACTGGGCTTATTAGGCAAATCGGGCCTTGCATATTAGGCTGAGAAGTGCGTTCTGGCTACTAGGTACGACATATATATATATATATATATATATATATATATATATATATATATATATATATATATATATATATATATATATATATATATTATTTATATAATGCAAGGCAAATATATATATATATATATATATATATATATATATATATATATATATATATATATATATATATATATATATATATATATATACAGAGAGAGAGAGAGAGAGCTTAAAAGTACAGAGTGCGGAGTTTACACGATCCAGTGCTCAGTTTTAAGCCATGTGATGCTTATTCTACGCGATTGTGTACGCAGTTTTATGGGGACCGCCGGTCTTCTTGAAGGTGTACGCAGTCGACGCGATGCGCTGCGTCCTGAGCCGTGGCTGGATGAGTTCCTAAGTTTATTCGCAAGAAAGTAACTTCAGTATTAAATGGAAACTTGTTTGTTCGAAGTTGGAGGTCAGACGGGGAAGTGAGGGGTAAGAAGGGGAAGGAGAGAAAGAGGAAAAGGAGAGACAAGGGAAAGGAGTGACTTGGAGGGCAGGGAGATGAATGCTGGTATCAAGGAGAATAATAAAATTATTGTTGCCCTTCACATCTGTGTCTCTATGACACACCTGTGTCTCTATGACACACCTGTGTCTCTATGACACACCTGTGTCTCTATGACACACCTGTGTCTCTATGATACACCTGTGTCTCTATGATACACCTGTGTCTCTATGACACACCTGTGTCTCTATGATACACCTGTGTCTCTATGATACACCTGTGTCTATGACACACCAGTGTCTCTATGACACACCTGTGTCTCTATGACACACCTGTGTCTCTTTGACACACCTGTGTCTCTATGGCTCATCTGTGTCTCAAGCTTACATCTCCTCTCATTTCTTTCGTTTCACTCCTCAAATTTCCCCTTCTGTTGGTGACTATTTGTTAACGGTAAGATTACCATCAGTGTCTATAATCATCGACCGCTTTTCCCTCCCTCAAACCCCACAAGTCTCCAGTTTCACAGGGGCTGGTCGTATATAACTTGTCGCCGCCTTCATTGTCTTCTAATGTGCCTTTGTAAGCGTCTCAAGAGGGGTTGAAAGAGCTAAGGTGTTCTCAATTTTCAAACGGGGTTGTCTTGCATTTGATAGATCAAGTAATATTAATCTCGTTTTGATATATAGATGTATGAATATATGTATATATATTTATCTATATATTATATATATATATATAACTGAAAACTCACACCCCAGAAGTGACTCGAACCCATACTCCCAGGAGCAACGCAACTGGTATCTACAGGTTTTCAGTCGCATATAGTCCTGGGGACCATTCAGGCTTGTTCGTATATATATATATATATATATATATATATATATATATATATATATATATATATATATATATATATATATATATATATATATATATATATATATATATATATATATATATATATATATATATATATATATAGAGCATAGAGCATAAAAGAGCATTTTTCTCTGTTTGCAAAATATATATATATATATATATATATATATATATATATATATATATATATATATATATATAGAGCATAGAGCATAAAAGAGCATTTTTCTCTGTTTGCAAAATAGAAGAGAAGGAATTCTCACCTTTACTGTTTTCGACAGGCAGCACCACAAGGGAGCCCGATAATAATACTTTACCCATTGGCTAGAAACAAAACACTCACCCTTACCCCCCTCGGCCTCGACACCTCTGCTTCGACAACTCGAAGTTACTACCACAGCCGCCACACCACAACCTCCCCACTTCGACCCCATCATTGTCGCAAACACAAACAGGTGTTTAATCACCACCACAAGAAACAGCGCAGCATCAATGGGAGTTGGTTCCCATTTTTTATGCTGTGATGACTGGCCGGTTTTCGACACTATTCGTGTGTCGCTTTGATCCTTGATTGTTGGTACGAGTGAGCCAGCGATTGTGAGGGAAGGGGGGAGCTTCACCTCCACTGTTTTATGCTATTAATGATTCCTATTTTATTTAGGCTCTTAGCTGCTCATCCGTGGGAAAACTGGCTTTTAGATTGTAACTGCACGTCGATTGTTATCTCCAGTACATACGTTTTTTTTTTAGTTTGTAGTTAAAACTTATTTATACATTCTAATTACGTTTGTTATTTGGAGTAAAATTACGGGTTCTCTGTAAGAGGCATAGAAAGAAGGATTATCACACACAAACTCATCTCACACACTCCTGTATACACATGAGACACAACATACACCTACACGGCAAATACAATACACACTACACACAATAAAGAAAATACACAATAGACGTAGTGCATACAACATACAGATTGCCCACACAACTCACACAATACACACGTACACATAGCACTGAATAATTTAACCTCTTAATGTATCTAACATATTACAATATATCAAGATATGATAAATATTGATTATGCTTTACCCAATCACATGAAGTGGACGGTAGAGCGACGGTCTCGCTTCATGCAGGTCGACGTTCAATCCCCGACTGTCCAAGTGGTTGCGCACCATTCCCTCCTCCCGTCCCTTCCCAAAATCCTTATCCTGATTCCTTGCAAGTGCTATATAGTCGTAATGGCTTGTTTCTTTTTCCCTGATGGCTCCCCGTTCCTTCTGGAAACTAAATATTGTATTATGAAATGTGGATCACCTACAACAAACGATAAATTTAGTTATCAACAAACAATTGTCTGCAATGATCCTTACCCAAAATAACTGTTAGGAATACATCCGTGCAATAAAATCTATCAAGTAGACACGGATAGACCATGTCAGAAGCAAATATTTTTTTAAGCTGGCCTTTGATAAAGGCCTAATGACAATTAGACCTTTATCGACTGTATTACGACTATACAGCACTAGCAAGGGGGTCAGGATAAGGATCTGGGTAGGGACGGGGTGAAGGAACAGTGCCCAAGCACTTGGACGGTCGGGGATTGAACGCCGACCTGCAGGAAGCGAAACCGTCGCTCCAGCCAACACGGCTTTGAACAACATAGACGACCCTCGAATCCACAACAATAATTAATCCAGTCATCTGTGTTTTGTGCGTCTCACATCACAGCTTTAAACCTGCATGTCAATTACTGAACCAGCTATCAATACTCACAGCCAAATAATTTACTCGGGACCAGAAAACAGTTCAGCTCATCAGGTACTACTCTAAAATATGCACGAAGGTTTAGTCACACTCTTTCTACAGCTCTTCCAGCAACACCATTCAGAATCACATGATATATCAGTACAATGGGTGCCAACAAACTGTGGAATACGTCAAATAGCTTTTATAAATAAATCAGCAAAAACATTCCACCCCTCACAACGCTGATCACCTCTCTTTGTCACGAAATGGGACTCTGAACTCCACCACCCCCAAAACCTTAGCAGTAAGCAGGCGATGAGTCACAATAACGTGGCTGAAGTATGTTGACCAGACCACACACTAGAAGTGCCCGAAACGCTTTGCGTAATAGTGGCTTTAGGCATTGTATGTACTAGCTCTATCTATAAAGCCAACAAACTTTGTAAAATCTCTTTATGTATGTACCTTTACCTAAATAAAAATTATTATAAAATTATTATTATTATTATTATAAGTTGAAGGGACGACGATGGTCCAGGACGGACCGAAACGTCGTCGTCTCTTCAACTTCTAGTGTGTGGTCTGGTTAACACCTTAGCAGTAAAGTGGATAACAACATGCTTCTCAACATACTATTTAACCACGAAAATAACCAGGAAAGATTTGAAATACAGCAGGTACAAAGAAGCAGAGAACTGTATATTTTATTGACTAGAATAAGACTAGAAAACACCAAACTAGAAACACGCACACAGGAACTATAAATAAAAGGACAGACTTAGACGAATATTGCGTCAACCGGTAAATGCAAAGGCAATCGAGCATTATATCCGCTATTGCTTCAGACGTCACAGTGCCAAATTGAATTTCAAACAAGAACTTACCACTCCCAAAGTCCGCTTCGATATCGAACACAAATCAGGGGAGGCGACCTCTCACTATTATACAAAATAGCAAGACGTCAAACCACAAGATAACTGTCTGCAGACTACCTAGCAAACAACACACATGTAATTCAAACATGCAATTCATATTATCCTGAAATCCGATTATAGAAAACGTCAGCCATGCAAAACAGGAACAGAACCCATCAGCCGACGCCATGAACACAATATTCGTCCATCACTGCCAAGTGATAACATCGAGTAGTTATTCCTCAAGGAATAACAATCAGCTGTTTCTTGTCAACAGTGATGCTTGTCAACAGTCATCGGGAAGGGGGAAACCATTACTCAAACTGCATGTTTATAAAGGAAAGGATAATTATATTCTAGAGCAGACTGAACAATTACGTCAATTGACTACAACTATACACCCAATTATTGAGAATTAATACCAGAGCATTTTGTTATAAGTACATTACGGTGAGTTTGTTTTATAAGGCCGGTAAGCAGTAGTGACTATAATCCAGTGTAGGGAATAACTTCCTCTACCCTTAGAGTTAAGGGAGCCGGTCGGCCGAGCGGACAGCACACTGGACTTGTGATCCTGTGGTCCCGGGTTCGATCCCGGGCGCCGGCGAGAAACAATGGGCAGAGTTTCTTTCACCCTATGCCCCTGTTACCTAGCAGTAAAATAGGTACCTGGGTGTTAGTCAGCTGTCACGGGCTGCTTCCTGGGGGTGGAGGCCTGGTCGAGGACCGGGCCGCGAGGACACTAAAGCCCCGAAATCAATCTCAAGAACCCTTACCCATTCCCCATTCCTTCCCCTCTCCACGGTAGCCACACTTCCCAGGCTCCACCAGACCAATCGCTATGCATCAACATGCCGTTCGCCCACTCACACACACAAACGTTCGACCACTCACACACACAAACAAGCCGCACGCAACCATGCATAATGCATGCACTCTCAAGACTGAACGACAGCTTCTTCAAGACCTGCAACAAGGCCTCGTTAAACGAGCCTCCATCAAGGTAGGCAACCCGTTCTCGCACGTTCTTTAAGTCAATATTGACTTATTAAATAAGTGCATATGTGACATAGTGCATATTGCTTCGTAATTACAATTATTACTTAACCAATTATAGGTATAGGTTAAGTAATAATTGTAATTACGAAGCAATAAGATGCTTATCTTAACATACTAAGAAAGTTAGGTAAGGTCGGTGTTTTCTATGAAGCTTTTCAAGGTAAACTAAAATATTCACAATAAATTAGTATGTCAAATATGCACGTATTTAATAAGTCAATATTGACTATAAGAAAGTGCGAGAATGGGTTGAGGTAGGACAACTTTGTGTCCATTTGTCAAAAACCTATAGCACTTGTCCTAAGCCCCTGTATATACAAGTTCTTTTAGGCATCTCTGAAAACAGAAGACCCACCACTTTCAAAGTCAGTGTATTGGAGATAGTACTTATGTTCAGTGTGTGTTCAGTCAATGTTACTGACCACCGAATGTCCCTGAACACATCCTGCTTCCCTTCGATCCAAGGTTGCTAGATAACTCCTGAGATAACATAGAATAGGTAACAAAACAAAAGTAACCGGGCCCTTCCAGAAATGCTGATTATTTCAGGTTCACTTATTTATTTACTATGAGTATAAACAAACTGTTGCAATTATGAATATTACTGAAGTCCAATAAAAATAATATAAGTTTTCTTCATTTCACTTTAGCCGTCATAAAACATTTAAAAAATATATGCGTGGTATTTATATAAAGTTCACATGTCAGCCTGCATAAATAGGTACAAAATTAAAGTGCTAAAGAGAAAAAAAAATTATATTACCCACTGTGCTCAATACTCTAAACCAGAAACGTCGCCACATCACTCTAGGCATTTTCCTAGAGTGCCTAGACTCAGAACAAAATGTTCGAAGTAGCACGGGCTATGGTGAGCCCGTAGTGGACTTACCTGGCACAGGAGCGGGGCTCCAGTGCCAGGAGCCCCGTCATTAGGGAGGAAGATGTCGGGGCTCCTGGCTCCTGTGCCAGGAGCCTCGTCGCCTACATTATGTCCTCATTATGTATCTGACGCTATCACCTCACCTGGGAATTTATAGCAGGCAAGAGAAACCATTTTTTTAATGAGGTTGTGAAGCGAGTGAAAAGTTGCAGTAATATTGCATATAACCTGTTGGTTTTATCAAGCTGTTGCAGAGGTAAATTGTGCTTCTCTCTCTCTGTCTGTCTCTGTCTCTCTGTCTCTCTCTCTCTCTCTCTCTCTCTCTCTCTCTCTCTCTCTCTCTCTCTCTCTCTCTCTCTCTCTCTCTCTCTCTCTCTCTCTGTCTCTCTCTCTCTCTCTCTCTGTCTCTCTCTCTCTGTCTCTCTCTCTCTCTCTCTCTCTCTCTCTCTCTCTCTCTCTCTCTCTCTCTCTCTCTCTCTCTCTCTCTCTCTCTCTCTCTCTCTCTCTCTCTCTCTCTCTCTCTCTCTCTCTCTCTCTCTCTCATCATGTATATTTGTCGCACCCAATTCCCAGTAAAGCGGTGACCAAAGGCAATTAACTGTGATGGACAGCATTTCGTCCTCAAAACTTGAAATTAATAGTGTACGGGAGCCCCGCATGAAGGAACCAGGTTAATTATGCTACATACTCCATTAGGCAAATGTACTTTGCCTATTTTTATATATCTTGTAATTGGATCGGACAATGAACGTTTCCGGAAAGGAGAGCGACGTTCGCCCGTACTTCAGAGCTGCTAATCTGAACGTCAGTCACGTTAAATCCTCAAATATGAGGATTTATTGGACTTAGTTTGATGTGTGGGGTTTAGTCCATGGAGTTCTATGTGTTAAATCGGTCGATGTTCCATGTGTTTAATTATTTATAGTTTCTGATTCTCCTGGAATTGATCGAGTTTCAGTAGGTTTTTGTACGAGGTTTACTGTATGTTTTCTGAGTGTCAGTAGGTGGCAAGCTGAGTTTTTATTATGATTCGTTTAGCCTGAGTTTTAGTAGATTGTCACTTGATGGGGTTCTGCCTCAGTGGATATTCATTCCTTCAAATATTCCATCGTGTGTAGGCAGCTAAATCCCAGTCAATTCCGTTACTTTGAAAGACTGGAAAGCACATCTTCCTCTTATAGTATTGTTGTAAACGTTGGCGCCTTCACATGCAATGTGCTCAGAGGGAATAATCTATGGTCAAACGATACGAGGCCTTTTCCTCCTATGATTAATTCTTCGACCCTAACACACAGAGATCTTTCTCGGACCTTTTTAAGTACACCAGGATCCACCTGAAGGATTTGGCACCTTTTTTACATATGTAAAATATACCTTTTCAACTACACATTATATTTTCGTTATTGACTTCTATGTGGTACCTAGAATTATTAATTAAGTGTTAGAGGTCGTGGTAATATTTTCTACGAAAAATCTAGCAAATATTATGCTGTTATATTATTCATTGTCTGGAAATTAAGAAAAATCAGCCCACCCTGGTTTTCTATATTTGGTTCAAATGTTATATATATTTTGTTACAAATTTGAACTATTAGTCAGGCCTTGATGGAATCGCACTGATTACCACAGCTCCAGAGGCTAATTTATACGAAGCTGCATGCTAAACTGGCTCACATCAAAACTGCAGTATTCTAATTTCACACAACACGTGAAAGTAATAGGATTTCCCTTAGAGTTTTCCTTTCTCTGTTCCTGTTACATTTACATAAAATCAACATATACTCATCTTATGATAATTCCGTAGCAGCCTGAACCCGTTACAAATTCTATTACACTCACAACTTCACCAATAGTTGAGAGTTCACCATATCACTCATATCACCAGTGACTCTGATACACTGTTCAGGTTTCCTTTAATTTAAAGGCTTTTGTAATTCACAAATAAAAATTCTGACCAAGTTAGAAACCTCCTTCAACTACTCGTGCTCACTGGTGGCTTTTTCTGCATGTCCTCGTTAATTCTTTCCATTAGTTTTCACAAATGGAATAATTCACTAACACGAGTAAGTTAAACGTGGAAGAAAATATCTGTAGCTGTATACCGTATATGGTATACGATATACGGTATACGCAGCCGTATACCGTAAAATAACCGTATATGCTCTAATTCAAATATTCAAACTAGATAATGATTTCACACTCTCGTTCATTGAACAGTCCTTATACCCCTTTAGACCTGCAGGTATGAGACAACTAGATCTCTGCAATTATTTTATCCACTCCCATATTCTTATAATATCTTTATATGCAGGCGATGAGTCACAATACCGTTTAAGTACTAAAGTCGTGACAATCGACTTGAGAATGGTCCAGGATGGACCGAAACGTCGTCGTCCCTTCACCTTCTAGTGTGTGGTCTGGTCAATATAATTTTATATAAGAAACACTTAATCCCCAGAAATCAGTTACTGGTAACAATATTGCTTTCATTAATAAATTAATTTAGATAAACAATATTTCGATGATGTTTACTTGATGAGTTATTGTTTACCATGACTTAGACATGAATCATTTCTCTAAGCAAACTAGAAGTAATAAATAATAACATGAGTGATTTTATGTGCCCTAAGAAACACAAGACTCTTTAAAATGAGGGTCGAACTAAAGCTTCCCTGTATTATAGAGATAATAATAAGAGTCAACATTACAATTTGCATTAAAGTTCTGAGAGACTTAGCTTCTCCAGCACTGCAAACAGGCAAACTGTTTTTCTTCACTCATTACGAAAGTGATTCGTGCTAACATATTATCTCACGCTACTCGAAAACGTTAACCCGGAATTAATTTGAGTCACAGTATGACATTTGTTTTTGAGAGAGTGAAAGAAAGAGAAAAGTAGGTGGGGCAATACTGAATGATAAGGGAGAAAGGAAAGGTGATTGGGAGGGGAGGGAGTTTGGGGAAGAAGGAAGAAGAGAGAGAGGTATAGAGGAGAAATATGAAGAGAAAGGGAGAGGAGGATAGAATGGAGAGAGGGCAAGACAAGAAAAATATGGAGAGAGAGAGATGGGGGAAAATGTGATTGGTAGACTGGTAGATTGGTAGAGAGAGTGGAGAATAGACTGAGAGGGGAAACAACGCCAGGGGAAAGTCGGGTTCCCACTCTAATAGCAAATAAATGACTTGCTTGATGCACAGAATTAAGGGATTAGAATCACGCTTTCATGGACATCTCACTGGGAAAAATCATCACAATACCATACATAGCTACTAAATTACCATGCAACAAATATGAAGTTCAACAAGAACAATTGGTATTCCCTTCATTATAGTTAAAACATTCAGGTCTGATTGGAGAGAAATCCAACTTTTTCAAAGAATTGAAGGCATTAATATTAAAAAATATATATATTTTTTAATGCAAACACCTATATCAGAAGAGAGTGTGTTATAGTAACTATCAGAATATGAATAGGCTACTGTTCCCTATGACACGTGGCTGCTCGTGTCGAGTCTGCAAATCTTCAGAACTCCACGTGTAAATTCTGTGATCAGGAAACGGGTCATGATCTCACGTCATTATTGAATATCTAGCCACTAGAATATCTGCTGCATAGGTGACAGCTTCTCGCCCCGTATCAACCTACCTTGGCTTTGCGCCCTGGAGAGGCCACTCCAGACAGACAACCAGAGCGCCCCTCCATAGTCTCTGAAACTGATGGATGCCTACTACTAGTCACTAGTTATTTCACATCTGCTGGTATGATGTTCCGGGAGGTTTGTAATTTCCTCATCCGCTCTCGTGTATTAATACGTGAAAAGTTTGCCAGTGCAGGCTAATGATAATATGCCACTAATCTTCCAGATGGACATTTTTATATTAACATAGGTATCTCTGGACACAAACTATGTAATCCTTCATATAGTTTTCGGAAGCTTCTGAATGCGGGTGTATTTAGGTATCTTAATAAAAACCTACATTTTTATTTTTACAGTTCCATTATGAACCTTCCTGAGTGAACAGCAGAGATATTTTGTGAGATTTACCGAAATACTGAATCATTTTTGTGTTTGTAACGCAGGAATGGTTATCTTGAGGTTATTTTGAGATGATTTTGGGGCTTTTTAGTGTCCCCGCAGCCCGGTCCTCGACCAGGCCTCCACTCCCAGGAAGCAGCCCGTGACAGCTGACTAACTCCCAGGTACCTATTTTACTGCTAGGTAACAAGGGCATAGGGTGAAAGAAACTCCGCCCATTGTTTCTCGCCGGCGCCTGGGATCGAACCCAGGACCACAGGATCACAAGTCCAGCGTGCTGTCCGCTCGGCCGACCGGCTCCCTAGGGCATGGTATGGTAGGGTAAGTATCGATTTTTAATGTTGCAGAACCGTGATTTATCTATGTTTAGTGTTGCATGCCTCGCACTTTGTAATTTTAGCTAGATCGATGTGTAGCGTTGGCAGCATCAGCTAGTTTTAGCAGCATTTTACGAATATTATTGTTGTCATCAACTATAATGCTGTTATCATTTCCTCCTGGATATTCCAGACATGACCCCCATGCTCCCTGCCCCCCTCTCTCTCCGCCTCCCAGCACACACCTCCTCCCTCGAGTTCCCACACTAAGGTTCTTATGCAAATTAGCCTTCCAGCTGCGTGTCCTTAATCGTATTTTAGAAGATTAACATGTTAACTCTGCCGCACTGCATCGACTATTACTACCCTCTAACCATAAATAATAATTTATTCATATTTTGCTTATTGTTTAATAACTATTTATTATTTATTAACTATCAAGGCCAAAACATAGATACATTTTGCTTTTAATTCATGTATTTGCATTTTTTCGAGGGGAAAATATATCTGTTATGAACTTTTATCGGAGCAAATATAAAAAAAAATCTAGATTATTTTTGCCAGAAATTATCTCAAATATATAGATGATTTTTTTCTTTTTCGAGCAACATTGACATTCTCTTCCTACAGATGAATGGAGTGGAGGGGAACTGATATATGTGTTCGTTGGGTATCATTCCTTATCGAAGACTAACGGCAGTTTCAGATAAATATCGAATGTTCCTTCCAAGGCGAGTATTAACAAGAACGACAAGTGAATATCTCGCTTATTGCAGGTGAATAGCACGGTTGTACCCACCTGAGGTGAATATCACATAATTCACTTCTCTTCAGGTGAATATCACATAATTCACTTCACTTCAGGTGAATATCACATAATTCACTTCACTTCAGGTGAATATCACATAATTCACTTCACTTCAGGTGAATATCACATAATTCCCTTCACTTCAGGTGAATATCACATAATTCACTTCACTTTAAAGGATTATTCACTAATAAGGATTATTGGGATCGTCTCAAAGCCCTCCAAATGTACTCACTAGAAAGAAGACGAGAGAGATATCAAATAATATACACCTGGAAGTTACTGGAGGGCCAAGTACCAAATCTACACAGTAAAATAACAACGTACTGGAGTAAACGATATGGAAGAAAATGTAGAATAGAACCAGTGAAGAGCAGAGGTGCCATAGGCACAATCAGAGAACACTGTATAAACATCAGAGGTCCGCGGTTGTTCAACGTCCTACCAGCAAGCATAAGAAATATTGCCGGAACAACCGTGGACATTTTCAAGAGGAAACTAGATTTATTCCTCCAAGGAGTGCCGGACCAACCGGGCTGTGGTGGGTATGTGGGTCTGCGGGCCGCTCCAAGTAACAGCCTGGTGGACCAAACTCTCACAAGTCAAGCCTGGCCTCGGGCCGGGCTTGGGGAGTAGAAGAACTCCCAGAACCCCATCAAGCAGGTATCAACCAGGTAACTTCAGGTGAATATCACATAATTCACTTCACTTCAGGTGAATATCACATAATTCACTTCACTTCAGGTGAATATCACATAATTCACTTCACTTCAGGTGAATATCATATAATTCACCCACCACCTCAGCTGCATATCACATTTTTATCTGTGTTATTAAATCTCTCGATTTATAACACAGTGCAAGACTCTCTTAACTATGCAATTAAAGCACTTTAGTTCCCGCGTCTCCCAGGAAAGAAAACGAAAAGCGTCTTTGACCGCCTCGAAACAGCTTGCTATAATTCTTGAGGAAACACTAAAATATCAAAAGAATACAACTGCACGGGTCCACCAGGAAAATTGAGGAAAAACTGCACTGAAACCTCACGGCGGAAAAATGTGTCGGGAAGAGCCAGTTTGGGAAATGTTGTGGTAATATTTCTTCATTTAAAGTTAAGGCGTTCTGTGACTCGACGAAAAGCTCCAGGAATCGACGGAAAGGTTCAAGAGACGACATGAAGTCTCAGGAAGTGATGGGAACTTCCCCGGAGACGTTGTAAAGTTCCAAACAACCACGTAAGGGTTATGTAGACAGCCAGAAGGTCCAGGACACCACGAGAAGGTCCAGGAAACCACGAGAAGATCCAGGAGGCTACGAGAAGGTCCAGGAGGCTACGAGAAGGTCCAGGAGGCTACGAGAAGGTCCAGGAGACTACGAGAAGGTCCAGGAGACCCCGAGAAGGTCCAGGAGGCTACGAGAAGGTCCAGGAGACAACGAGAAGGTCCAGGACACCACGAGAAGGTCCAGGAAACCACGAGAAGATCCAGGAGGCTACGAGAAGGTCCAGGAGGCTACGAGAAGGTCCAGGAGGCTACGGGAAGGTCCAGGAGACCTCGAGAAGGTCCAGGAGGCTACGAGAAGGTCCAGGAGACAACGAGAAGGTCCAGGAGACCCCGAGAAGGTCCAGGAGACCACGAGAAGGTCCAGGAGACTACGAGAAGGCCCAGGAGGCTACGAGAAGGTTCAGGAGACTACGAGAAGGTCCAGGAGACCACGAGAAGGTCCAGGAGACCACGAGAAGGTCCAGGAGGCTACGAGAAGGTCCAGGAGGCTACGAGAAGGTCCAGGAGACCACGAGAAGGTCCAGGAGGCTACGAGAAGGTCCAGGAGACTACGAGAAGGTCCAGGAGACCACGAGAAGGTCCAGGAGACCACGAGAAGGTCCAGGAAACCACGAGAAGGTCCAGGAGACCACGAGAAGGTCCAGGAGACAACGAGAAGGTCCAGGAGACTACGAGAAGGTCCAGGAGGCTACGAGAAGGTTCAGGAGACCACGAGAAGGTCCAGGAGACTACGAGAAGGTCCAGGAGGCTACGAGAAGGTCCAGGAGGCTACGAGAAGGTCCAGGAGACTACGAGAAGGTCCAGGAGACTACGAGAAGGTCCAGGAGACTACGAGAAGGTCCAGGAGACTACGAGAAGGTCCAGGAGACTACGAGAAGGTCCAGGAGACCACGAGAAGGTCCAGGAGACCACGAGAAGGTCCAGGAGGCTACGAGAAGGTCCAGGAGGCTACGAGAAGGTCCAGGAGACTACGAGAAGGTCCAGGAGACTACGAGAAGGTCCAGGAGACCACGAGAAGGTCCAGGAGACCACGAGAAGGTCCAGGAGGCTACGAGAAGGTCCAGGAGGCTACGAGAAGGTCCAGGAGGCTACGAGAAGGTCCAGGAGACTACGAGAAGGTCCAGGAGACTACGAGAAGGTCCAGGAGACCACGAGAAGGTCCAGGAGACCACGAGAAGGTCCAGGAGACTACGAGAAGGTTCAGAAGGCAACAAGAAGTTCCTGGAAGCAACACACCAGACATCAGAAAAATTCAGGAAATTACCAGAGGAGGTCAAGAGTCAACGGGAAGGTCCAAGAAGTGACGTTTAAGTTCTGGGGATACCGGAAGCTCCAGGAATCTGTCTCCCATATCTCAATCTATCCACCAATCTACCTATACGTTTATTCATCTATCCATCAATCTCTCGATCAATCCAACAGCATATTTTTTTCCATCTATTCATCTATTTTTCCATCTTTCCATCAATCTATCTATCCGTCTATTCTTCTATATATTTGGCCTTCAATTAATGAGAAAATCAATAGCCATTAGGTGGATTCGAACCTATGCTTTGGATAGTACAAAGCAAACGCTTTTGATCACTATACCATTGTTTTCTTACCATTTCATGGTCAAAAAAACATCCTATATGAACCTCAGAAGGTTCAGTTGTGTCCCATTGCGTTTGCCCCCTTCGTGGTGTAGTGGTCTAAGGTGCTTGCTTGGGAGTACCCTGAGCATTGGTTCGAATCCTTATCATAGCAACTGCTAATTGTCGTAAATATATTTTCCAATCTTCCCTCCTTCTCCAACTTTCGCCTCAAGATCTCCAATTTCTCTCCCACTCTTCTCTCCTCTACCCCCTCTTCTTCCTTCTCAACCCTCGCTTCCTATCTCTCGATCTCACACCCTTTCCACCTTTCATTCCGTAACATCTCCCATGTCAACCTCTCAATCCTCTTTCACAGTCAGACCCCTCTCTCACCACCTCTCTGCTTCTTCTTTTTCCTCTCCACCTGTCACCTTCCTCTCTCACTCTCTCTCATCCCTTCTCTACAAACATTATTCCCTCTCCTTCTTCTCTTCACACATTTCTCCTTTTCCCCTCTGTTCTCCGCTGTGTCCGTCTTGTTCTTCTCCCTCTCTCTCTCTTTCTCTCAGACAAACTATGTAACGAAGCACTTAAATAACTGAATACGTCTACGGAACCACATATCCAATATTTCAATTTTGAATTCATGAACTTAGCTGTGGGTTGGAGGGGGAAGGGGATTAGATACCAATATTTCTTAAAGTGTGACACTGGAGCCAATGACAACCCCATACCTCACATGCTACATGATTAAAAGTTGGGTGAGACTAGCCTTAAGCGTCTAACCGCCTACCATGTAGAGACAAATAGACATAGACAGATATATATAGGTTTAGATAGACCGTTTTTAGCATCATGCTATACATGTCAACTGTTGTGAATCGTGTGTATATTGTTTCCCATTCATTAACAGCGGGTTTTGGTAGTTGGATTAACGGGTATTTCCTCCTTGTTTATGAGGACAGGCTACAAAATCATGTGCAATTCGCCGTTTCCCGATGAGCGCGGGAAGCCCGGTGTTATGAGACCAGGAATCACTTGTTGCGTTGGAAAATTAAACCTTGGAAAGCTGTAAATGGAAACCCAAATGTTTTGAAATGCCCCACAATTCTTGAAACCCAGCTGTGATCGTTTGGGACATTGCAATGGCTATCGAACATTGTGTAGTTAATAAATGTAATGTGGCTTTTTTATTATTATTATTCTCATTTCATGGCTTGATTCCACAACTTTTACAACCAGCTAAAAGCGTGAGAAGACAGTCATGACCAGCTTTACTTCACGAATTTTGTCTTCCTCGACCAGTGCTTCTGGACGAATGTTGTGCTCCTCGACCAGTGCTTCTGGACGAATGTTATGTTACTACACCACTACCGTGAACACCACCGTTACGGTGTATGAAACCTTCCCAACATAAACCTTTACTGTCACATGCTCCACATGTCAACATCACCCCTCATATCCACATGACTAATTCCTCTACACGTTCACAACACCCACACATCCATATATAACCTACACAGTCACATCAATCAGGCGTCTTTTTGGCTCAAGACTGTCAAAAGGCGAATTTGCGAATTTATGTAAATATATTTTTGGTAAACGTTTCTCTCTGAGGTTTGGTCTGATGACAGAAGATTTCAGCACTGACGACCAATGTTTATTGAGGTAATTAGCTACCCTCCCAAGAATCACAGCTTGCAGTTGGAAACTTAGGAGCGACGAGGAAAACAAATCAAGTCACTCCTTTCATCAACTACTGACAACTAACTTCAAAGTGATTACGCTGTCCCAGCCCAAACAGAAAACAAACTATTTGTGCTGCAGAAGAAAACTCACAAAAATATATTGTAAAAAAAGAAACATGGCAGTACAGTGATGCAATGAATTTGGTGTAAGAGGTTATCTTTAAGAAAAATATATTCAAAGAAATTCTGTGATAATAAGAGCTAACGAGGAGACACTCAATAAACCTTAGGAGAGCCAGAAGATGTCAAACTGCTTGATACTCTTTTTCTTATGATATCTTGATTTAATATTTTTACTTTGAAACACTCAAATTCCAATCATTGGAACAGAGACGAGCAGGATATACAATGACATATTTAAGGCACGTACTGAATCAGTTAGGTTCGAAGCCTTTTACAATGAAAATACAACATACTAGAGTGAGAAATACAGCTGGAAATATAACATTAACCGATAGAATAACTCGGGCCTCATAGGCATGATTAGAAATAGGTGTGAGAATATCAGGGGATTCTGAACTCTTCAACCTACATCCCACAAATAAGAAATATGTCTGAAATAACAGTAAAAAGCTTTCAAGAAAGGAATTGACTAGTTACTGTTGGATTTATTAAACTGGCCTTGCTCTAATGGATAGGGGGAACTCTGCCAGGTATCAAGATAAACAGGCTTTTAAACTATGTAATCACCTGTGAAAGCTGTCACCTGGTCCGGATACGAGGCGAGAAGAAGTATCCAACTCGTCCTCATTTTGCCATTCAAAAGTTGTGAAAATAGCTTATGAATCAGAATCAGTAGCAGAAGCGACATAAGTAAACGTAGCAGCGTGAGCAGCAGCAGCAGCAGCAGCAGCAGCAGCAGCAGCAGCAATAACAGCTGCAGCCCCATTACTAACCCCCCACCAGCAGCAGTATCAGCAGTTCCCTTGATTGCGTGCTTTTACAATGAAGGAACACGAACTAAAGCTTTTAAGCTGTAAAAATGAATTGTGAGTCGTGTCACACCATGTGATGCAATATCGCGTCACGCAACATCGAGCCACACCACACTCACCCACGCCACATCGAGCCACACCACACTCACCCACGCCACATCGAGCCACACCACACTCTCCCACGCCACACCCAGCTGTGCCACACTGAGTCACATACGCAAGTAAAAAAATATAATTTAACTCTAGACCCTATAATCCTTTTTCAGTAACAATTATCCACAAAACAGATATAAAAGAATCCTGAACGCCATTGTCTTCACAATGCTGCTAACACTGCAACTACCGTCAGTATACTCGATGTAAAGCCACAGTATATCCACAACAGTTAGCTAGAACACAGGTTTAGCTTGTAAAGTTTCTCAGTCAAGCTGAAGGAACGCACAGACGCACAATGTACGTCTAGCAGGAGAAGCCAACGTTGCCCTCCTGCGGCAGTGATCCACATCACTGTTATTATCCCAAGTTGATGGTTTTAATAGCCAGAAGGACGGGAGAGAGGAAGGTGGGGATGAAAAGGTGACCTTTGACCCCCAGCAGGTCAGAGGTGAGCAAGTAAATCACGACCTTCCGAGTAATTTAGATATCAATTTCTGGAATCAATATCGTTAGTGATCGCCAGAAGGTGTACTGAAATTTGTTATTGTACAAACATGGTTTTCTTTTGGGTGCGGTATAAATAAAAATGCATGAATAACTCTATATATATTTGTTTTGAATGTGGTGAATTATGTCTCCCTCAAGCAATGAGTAATTACCTGGAGATACGCCTCAGAGAACCCTCGGCTGTCATTCACACGAACCATATAATGCAGAATAAATAATTTATGGAAAGAATAATCTTACGTGATCTTTAATGCGTCTTATATGCAATAACTAAACAGATGTTGGCTTAAAGAAAAATATATTAAAAACCCCAGTCTGGCTTGCTAATCAGGTGTTGGCTTTTGTTTAACCTGAGGTACACATTAGTGGATCTCATACAAGCCAGTGAACACTAGTGGAGCTAGTCCAGGCTAGTACAGCACCCTATCCTCTCAAGTTGCCACAACGGACAGAAAATGGCGTATTAAACTTGTGTTCGTGTGTGAGTGTATTTGTAAATGTGTAAGTGTATATGTCTGAAAATGCCAAGTGCCTAAGTGCAGGCATTTCAGTAGGTTTCAGTATTGTCTTAAGCGTTCAGCGAGGCATATAGACTATACCTGTACATTTATATGTGTCAAAACAAACTTATCGTCCTCATTTGCCATATACATTGCAAGCGCCTCGTAGTTGCAGACTGATGAAGTTTACCTTCAGTAAACCCGAGCAGACTTGTCTCTAGCACCAGGGCAACGCTCCACATCCTGCATGTGGCCCCGTGCGCCAAGCTCCCTTATGGAGTGAGATCTCCAGCAGCAAAGCCAACAAGGAGATCAACCAACCCCAGACAGTGACGAAGAAGATGCCCTGCAGGTGGTTGATGCTCAGAGGGATGACTCCGCCCTCCGTCACGACGTCACCTGCATCAACGTCGCCGGCTGCTGTGCCCGTCACTCCCAGCTTGTCGTGCAGCCTCTGTCAAGACGAGACACTGTATGTTCCCCGGGACAGGTGATGCGGACGTTGGATCAACTCTCGCACTAACAAGGTACTCCACTTTCTCTCCCGTCTCTTTCCATCTTCGTGTTGTAAGGGACTCTAATGTGATTGCCATTTGCTAATGGTAAGTAGAGAATAGTATACTTAAGTGGGACAGTTGCATGAATGACAGGTCGAAGGTGGATGATTGAGACGGTAAACAGGAGCGAAGCATAAGCTGAGGAAAGACGGGTATCTAGAATCCTGGTGTACATCAATGTTGTAACGGAGTGGTGTGGCAAAAGGGGGTTTGTGTTACAAGAGGTTAGTGTTACAAACGGGGGTGGCTGTGTTGCAAGGGCTTGTTAAGTCCACTCGTTCCACCCCTCCCTCCACTACCCTCCCCCCCCCCCATCACCCCCGACCTCAACTTATTCATTGTGATATCCGAGAGCTGAAAATTTACTTGGGTATTATCCCCCTCACAGTGTCAAGGAACACTATATACATTTTCATATTTGACTCCAAAAATTACTATAGTATTTTGCATAATTGCTAATATATATTGGATTATAGAAAAATGAAACAGGGCATTTCCATACATAAGTTTTCATCATCATCGTCCTCAGCGAACAGTAGAGAGAAACGTTCTATCGAAATAGATTTAATTCGACAGGAAACAAAGAATATCTACATTACTCACCGATTAAGGCAGCGTCTGGGATGATCTCGGACGTAGGTTCGAATCCTCGTCACGGCCCTTGTGGATTTGTTCAAAGAATATCTATTTAATTAATACAACTGAAGAAAACCTCGTTACTGAGTGTTGGTAGCTAGAGAAATTGTGAAGCAGCACTTACCTAGTTGTGCTTGCGGGGTGTTGAGCTCTGGCTCTTTGGACCCCGTCTCTCAACTGTCAATCAACTGGTGATTGAGTAGTGTGATTGCATTAAAACAGGAGGTGTTGGGCTCGTGGTGAACGACCAGTGTCTCTGAAGATTGGGCTGGGAACACTCACACAATGTTATATTGAATAATTATCATGTAAAAGCCAACAGTGATTCTTAAACAGAAGCAAATTACTGAAACGGAAAAATCACTCAATATAACTATATTGTTTTCTAGATCTAATGGTTTAATAGGGAATTGGTTCCAATTCCCTATTAAACTATTTGATTTAGAAAACAATACAGTAATATTGTAACTAGCTAGCTAGCCTTTGATTTGTAACTAGCTAGCCTTTGATTTGTAACTATTTGTAACTAGTAACTAGCCTTTGATTTGTGAAATACCTTCTTTATTAAATAACCATAATGGATAAACTATTATTAAATAACATACGGTTATAGTAATAACAATAATAGTAATTTAACCTAAATTTCAGTGTCATTTTTATCTAATAACCATGATTAACATGGTAATGAATAATTTAAGAATGAAAATATAGTGATGAATATCTGAAAGCTGACCATATTACAATGAATAATTCAAGGAGGTTGACTTAGCAATGAATATCTCAAGAATAAAGACAAATCAATGAATATATATATATATATATATATATATATATATATATATATATATATATATATATATATATATATGTCGTACCTAGTAGCCAGAACTCACTTCTCAGCCTACTATTCAAGGCCCGATTTGCCTAATAAGCCAAGTTTTCCTGAATTAATATATTTACTATAATTTTTTTCTTATGAAATGATAAAGCAACCCTTTTCTCTATGTATGAGGTCAATTTATTTTATTGGAGTTAAAATTAACGTAGATATATGACCGAACCTAACCAACCCTACCTAACCTAACCTAACCTATATTTATAGGTAAGGTTAGGTTAGGTAGCCAAAAAAAGCTAGGTTAGGTTAGGTTAGGTAGGTTAGGTAGACGAAAAAACATTAATTCATGAAAACTTGGCTTATTAGGCAAATCGGGCCTTGAATAGTAGGCTGAGAAGTGCGTTCTGGCTATTAGGTACGACATATATATATATATATATATATATATATATATATATATATATATATATATATATATATATATATATATATATATATATATATATATATATATATATATGTCGTACCTAGTAGCCAGAACGCACTTCTCAGCCTACTATGCAAGGCCCGATTTGCCTAATAAGCCAAGTTTTCCTGAATTAATTGTTTTTCGACTACCTAACCTACCTAACCTAACCTAACCTAACTTTTTTGGCTACCTAACCTAACCTAACCAATAAAGATAGGTTAGGATAGGTTAGGTAGGGTTGGTTAGGTTCGGTCATATATCTACGTTAATTTTAACTCCAATAAAAAAAAATTGACCTCATACATAATGAAATGGGTAGCTTTATCATTTCAAAAGAAAAAAAATAGAAAAAATAAATTAATTCAGGAAAACTCGGCTTATTAGGCAAATCGGGCTTTGCATAGTAGGCTGAGAAGTGCGTTCTGGCTACTAGGTACGACATATATATATATATATATATATATATATATATATATATATATATATATATATATATATATATATATATTACTGATAATCGTAAACAAGCAACATTAATGAATGAGAGTATTGGTCGCTCGTATCGTGGATTACGATTGGATCTTCAAACAGATTGCTATACAATGTTATTATATTGTTTTAATATTATCACCAGTTATATAAGAGCTGTTTATGTCATTATACACGTCGAGTAGTTACATACTAATACAAGTTTGTGCTGCGAATATCCTTATTTGTGCTTAGTATTTTGCTGCTTTATTGGCTAATAGAAGTGCAAATGGCATCTGAAGATTTAGGGGTTAAAGCGTCTGTCTCTGAAGAACTATTGGGTAATAAACTGACGACATTTTCAGATGTTTTAGATTCAGTTACTGGGAACAAGAAGTTCCAAGCAGCACGGGCTATGGCGAGCCCGTAGTGGACTTACCTGGCACAGGAGATGTGCATTGAGAGAGTTATTAGTGGGTACATCTTCCCATCTTGACACACGGCTTCGGGAAATGGAAGGAAAACATGATTATAATTTATTCCTATTAACTACACTGAACTCGTCAAACAGATCAATTTCTGTAATCCACCATTTCCATAAGTTAATGTTATGACTTGTACACTCAGGAATAGAACAATTCCAAAGACCATACACTCTTCCTATCTGTGAAAAGTGTGAAAGATATAGTTTATTATCAAAATTACATTATTAAGTCTTATGTTACTTTGTGCATTTCCCGTGGAGCAGTGGTAAAACACTCGCCTGACGCTTCACAAGCTCTTTGGCCTGGGTTCGTATCCTGGCCGGGGAGGATCGACTGGGCGCCAATCCTTTACTGTAGCCTCTGTTCACCCAGCAGTGCATGGGTATCTGGTTATTAAACGATTTGACGGGTCGTATTCCGGGGAAAATTAGGATTAAGGACCAGCCCGAAACGCTATGCTTGCTAGTGGCTTTACAAGAATGTAAGAACTCTTGCAAATATAAATGAAATAAAATACAAAATTAATTATGGAATATAGACTAAAATGTCAACTTCGAGAAGTTTGCGGGCTGTCAACCTTACGTGTTGATCTTCAAGATTGTTTAATCTATGCCTTATACTTTAGTAACTTCAAATTGAACCTTTTTGGTACATTTGTACCGCAGGTACATATAAGTACCAAAGTACAGAGTGCTTCTTACCCCTCATGTCAGGGCGGGGTACGAGGCACTGCTCTACAAATTCTCGTACGCCACCAACTGCTTGTCGGTGGCTGGGTCAACGGGAGCCCAGCCAGTGTTTACAACGACCAGCTGATTTATTCGCATTTAAATTAAATGGCCGAAATACCTACAACAGTGTGATTCGAATGCATGAAGTAAGATAAGCACTCGGTCGATGTTTTGGTGCTGGGCTGTGATGTAACACCACCTGGCTATAAATGGTTAATTAACAGATTGGAAACTCGTAAGGAACACGGTGTGGACTCTCTAGTCGGGCGGACCAGGCCAGTATGTCGTTAATGGTGGCGAGTAATGGCTGTTTGGTGGGAACTGTGGGGTGATGACTGACATACAACTCTAAAGTGTATCTGAAAATCTTTCCAAGTGTTCGGTCACACCGAGTTACGTAGACTAGATGTGTGATACTTAAAATAAAGTGAGTATTAGTTAGCACTAGTGTGTGGACTAGCAAACTACAGTGTTGCCGGATTCGGTTGCGAGTATTTGTATTATGTTTCGTGTCTAGCAAAATCCTGAAATTGCATTTTTGAGAAATACGCAAGACACTAAGGCAGGATACGCCGTTACTAAATGTGATCGTGACTAAATCTTAATGCTTAGACAGTTTAGTGATTTACTGGACAAAAAAGGTGGATATTGGCATGTATTGCTTTGGCTAAATAACATTTTTGTTGGGTACTTTCAGTACTTGCAGTGTTGCTCGTCTCGTACTGGATATTTAATTCATTGTGAGTGATTCGTGAATGTTGAAAATATCGCTTTTGTTTGTGTTCGCGAGCACGTCGGGAGTAGTGTTGACGCTGACCCCTTGTCTGACCCCGACTACGGACAGCGCTGACCCCCTTGTCTGACCCCCACTACGGACAGCGCTGACCCCCCTTGTTTAACCTCACTACTGACAGCGCAACCTTCCTTCTGGAGAAGGTAAGAATCACCTCAAGTATCACCTACGTCTCCGCCTCTTGCATACCAACATGGAGATGTATACAAATGTGAAGATTCATGTTATATATGAGGTATATGATTAAAATGAGTATATAAAAATTTCAATAGGCATATTAATAATTATTTTTTTCTGTCTTCACAGGTAAGGCTTTTTTAGCTCATCGCGGGAGACAACGCCACCAGCTCAAGGTATGTTCCTGTTGCCTTTAGTTTCCGGGGGACTTTTCGCGTAAACAAAGTATTAAAGGCCACGAAGATATCATAATATAATTATGGGTA